AAAAAAAAAAAAAAAAAAAAAAACACATACACACACACACATACACAAATCGCACACAGACTGTCAGGTCACCGCCATGAATATGAATAGAGGAATCTTTCAATTCATATAAAAAACACACACACACACAAAACGCACACAGAAGGGAAGCGAAGCAGAAAAGAGAGGAATTAATGAATGAAAATGAAGAGGAAAATAAAAGAGAAATTGTCAGCGGTTGGCATTCATATCTGCAATTGCGACGACACCCAATTTCTGGAGATTCAATCGGACGACGGTGTCGGTGAACATCTTGGTGTCCTCGCCGGTGTTCCCCTGAGGTATGTCCACTATGTACGATTCCAGCACTATCGTGTACGATCCCCCTTCGAATTCGTTCACGGAGGTCACCGACCGGTAGTTGTTCAGCCGGTGCTCGCCGCCGACCACGCGGAAGCTCAGTATGTGGTTGGAGTCGTCCAGGATCTCCAGCCGCTCAGTCGACGTCGACGCCGGGAGGCCGGACACCACCGTCACCTCGCGGACGCTGCCGACGCCGCCGTCACCCGCGGCCAGGCGGCAGCTCTTGATGAAGTGCTTGTACCGCTGGGGGTTGTCGAACCGCCGCACCAGTGGCCACACCGCCTCCGCCGGCGCGTCTATCCGCTGCGCGATCAGGGAAGTGCATGTGTTGGGCGCCGCCTCGAAGGTGTGGTGCGTGCGGATCACGTGCTCCAGCCGCGAGTACTCCTCCGCCGTCAGGCCCTGGGGGATGCTACCGCCGTCCATTCTTCAGCCGGCGAGAAAAAAAAAAGAGGGGTGGAGTGGATTTCGTGAGGGATTTTTCTCTGGATATTGTTTTCGAAAGGAAATGGAAAAGTTGCGTGATTCCAGAAATTGAAAGACTGTTGCTGATGGTCTCTGTATTATATGCCATTATATGCACATTTTTCCTTCCTGAATAAAAAAAAAAGCAAATAATTATTATTTTTATTTTTTTATTTATTTTCGAGGATAAGGTGGAAAATGAAAATATAAATAGTTACAAAAACAATCATCTTTATTGATTAAATGAAGGAGAGATAATGACGAAAGAGAGAGAAATAAACTAGTTGGGTTTTATAGGACAAAAAATAAAATAAAAAATAAAATACTAGGGTGGGTGTAGTAAATTTAGTTTAAATAAAAAATATATGTATATGTATATATATATTTTAAAATACAACAAGTGAATTGCTATTTACCGCTTCACTTTTACTAGTCACCGTCCCCTAATTACGTTTTTACCCTTCATACTCTCTCTCTACTTTTTTCCTTTTGATTTTCTACGGTTCTTTTAACCGTAAAAAAAAAATTCAAAAAAAATATCAAAAAAATACCCTGACATCGGCAAGACATTGATAATTGACCATGTATTTTTTTTATATTTTTTTACTTTGTAAATATTTTTTAATTTTTTTATTTTATTTTTTTTCGCGTTCGGTCGGCCGGGCCGGACGCGACCGGTTGCGTCCAACCGGACAAACCGGTAGCGTCCAACCGGACGGACCGGATGTAACCGTGCGCGTCCGGAACGACCGGCCGGAGGCGA